GCGAAATTACTGCAATTTGTTTGAGTGGTTAGGATAATTTTACATAACTTACATTTACATTGCGCAGTAGTGATAACATCATTGATAAGTACCTACCTAATTGGTAATAAAGTTATATAAAAATATTTTTATTCATTTTTGAAAATTGTATGCGTAGATATAATCATAATCAAAACTTCAACATTTAACAGAAAAATGTAACAAACAATAACAATAATACCTTTCAATATTTCGTTGGCCCTCCCCTAAGCCGTAATAATTCGTTAACCCTCCTGGGCATTCCCTCGACCAAGTTCCTTAGAAATTTCTGGGGTACCCCATTCTTCCTGAATAGCATTTACCAATTCATCCAAATTTTCCATGCCTCCTTTCCTCTTTTTCATCTTCAATTTTATCCTGCTCCACACATGCTCAATAGGATTCATATCCGGAGACAAACCTGGCCAATTCATTTTCTCAATATGGTGGTCCCTTAAATACTCATTTACGATATGTAAAAAAACAGTACAAACCATGCTGCAGCAATCGGATTTTATTGACACATTTAACAGCCGGGAATTGTTTTCAAATCTTGATTTTTAGTGATTTTGGTTTTATCTGAAACTTAATGTTGAGAAGTTCTCAATGAGAACTGAATCACAATCAGGAGGTCAAAATTATGAAGAAAACATATTACGAAAGTAAATATCGGTTTAGGTTTAGTTTTTGCAAACTTTCACAAAAATGTAATTTTCAAAAAGTGGTCTTAGCTTAGGCCCTCTGAAAATAATGGTTTGTTGCCTGTCGCTTGTTCAGAATTATTTAAGGAACAATATTTCACCATCTTATCTTCTTGTTCCTAAAAGGACTGAGTGTATTGCCTAAAAAAAGCCTTAAATGTACTCTTATGGAAAAAAAATCATATTTTCGTTGCTAAGATTCCAATTCGAAAAATTTGAAAAACGTTTCAAGGTAACACATAATACTTCATTATTTTAAAGTAAAAACAAAACAAAAATTATTTTTTTACAAACGGGGCTTGGATAAAGTTATTGAAATTTTTCACCGTTTAACATATCACCCTGTAGGAAATTTACTTGTCCAACCGTGAGCTTCATATCTATAGCATAAATTGCCAGAGGATGAGGCTAGCAGACATCACAAACCAAAATAAAATCGTTTAAGAAACAAAAAAGTTATGTCGTTTTGAAAAAGAACGAACTTTTTGGTCGCGACACATTTAGTGGTGCGCAGTTAGAAACATTATAATCTAGGTTATTATTATTTTTAAGTTTAAAAACTTAAATATCTTTTTAAATAATAACGGTAGATTTTTTTTACAATTTTCAAGGATTCCTGGGGGTCTGTAGATCTTCCAACTTTAAGGTGATGCGCGACTTCTGAGCCCTGTATACATTCGGAGAGGGTTAAATAAAAAACAAATTAGTTTCTAAATAAAGAAATATTTATTATAAAATACACGAACACAACACAAAAACATTATGTAACAAATATTGAAAGCAATAGGTAGCTTTACAAGTTCTTTCATGTAAATGATATTAATCGCTGATATTTTGGAGACACACTTTTTTCATTTAAACACTTTTTTCAACACGTTTTCAAGCATAGAATATGAGGCGCTGTTTGCGTCAAATAGAAAATATAGAATTTAACTGAAAATGTATAGAAAACACAAAATAGGTATATAAAATATAACAAAACAAACAAGAAAACTAATAGTGGAAGATTTTTGGCCAATGCACCAAGTTTTTAAGGTGTTCTTTACATCCTTTTAGTTTTTAATTCTTGTGCGTCGAGCGCCCTCAAACGGTCAAGTGAGGAACCTGATTTTTAATATTTTGTTGGTTTTTCAATGTTTTGTTTGATTTTCTATATTTTGTTGGATTTTATTTGTTTTATTATAGGTATATTATATTTAGGTTTTGTTTGATTTTTTTTGTTACAGGTGTATTATATGTTTTGTTGGATTTTATTTGTTTTGTTATATTTTATATACCTATTTTGTGTTTTTTATACATTTTCCGTTAAATTCTATATTTTGTGAGAGATATTATTTATATTTATTTTCTACACTTCTATTTTGACGAAAACGGCGCCTCATATTACAACGCGCCACTTTTACAATCGCAATCGCAATACGCAAAGTGTAAAGCTACCTTACAAATACATTTTTAAGTCCTAAATATAATGTATGCTTTTGTTAATGGTTATTTTTTAAATGATTTTTAAAATTATTTGTTATTGTTGAACGCGCCATTTTTACAATCGCAATCGCAATACGCGAAGTGTAAAGCTACTTTACAAATACACTAAATTTTAATGATGAACTTTTAAATGCACTTTAAAATTATTTACTATTGTTGATTTATAAGTACAATATTTGCAAGACAATACAATTCATTAATATTAGAACCAATAAAATGCCAGTATTCCATAGTGACGTATTTTATCACAGCGGCAATAATTTTTATCATCTTGTTTACACGTTACTAAGAATTTTGACACTTTTTTTGATTTAACATCTGTTGTCATTTAAATTTTGTATTTGATATACACACATGGAAAAAAGTTAGGGATATTAATAAATTATAAACTTATGCTAGATTTTTCTTCGAGCAAAGAACCCACCAATATTGTACATCACTTATAATTCAATACACTATATATATATATATATATATATATATATATTTCATTTTTTTAGTGTATTGAATTATACAGTGATGTACAATATTGGTGGTTTCTTTGCTCGAAGAAAAATCTAGCATAAGTTTATAATTTATTAATATCCCTAACTTTTTTCCATGTGTGTATATCAATAAAATAATGAATTATAAACTCTAAAAGATCGATGGGTTGGTGTAAACGATAATGAAATTAGGGTAAGTTTGAATAAATAAGGTTTATTAAAGTCTTTTTATATTTTAAAGCACATTTTAATTTTAAATGTCAATCTGACAAATTTTTTAATTCCTAAAATTCATTATATTTTCTCACTAAATATAACTCGTGGTATGATTAATAATCGAAGATATTTACTCATTGAAACCGAAGCAGCACATTTCACTCGTCCTGCGGACTCGTGAAATCTGCAGCTCGGTTTCAATTCGAAAATATCATCGATGATAATCATACCACTTGTTATATTATGGGTGAATATATTTTGGAAGTGATGATATTTTTATTGTTTTCGTTCAACAAATGAGAATGTTTTCTTAAAATGTGGTTGTCTAAATTTTGTTTTCCGTTACATTGAAAATGACAGAATAGTACATTCTGTAACAAGTTTGGAATACAGCATATTCCGCTCGAGGAAAAATTTGACACACGAGCCGAAGGCGAGTGTGACGGTTTTACGAGAGTGGAATATGCTATTCCAAACGTGTTTCAGACATTATTTTCTCTACGACTACGTAAGAATAGTAACGCTTATATAATTTTAAACAGAGAAAAGAAACCAAGCAGTTTTTGACATTTAAGTTTTTTGTATTGTCAAACCATTTTGTGCCGTCACAATTTTATAATGTAAATTATAATAAATTTAAACAAATGGTATGCCTAAATCTTTATTATAATTAAAAATAGTTATTTACACTAACTAATAAAAAAAATAACATTGTAACAAATACAAAACTAATTTTACAAGTAATCTATGTCAACATCTATTCTTCTTCTACATTTTAAAGGTCTTTTCTCGATTTTTATGTAAGAATGTCATATTCTCGCACGCAAAATCGTTGAAGAATGAAGCTCATTCTTAAACGATTTTTGGTAACATTTAGTTTTTAAGTATTGGTACCCCCAAAATGTCAAACTGTTTAATAACCTCAAATTCATTACTTTTAGGATTATTTATAATAGCTTTGTTTGTTATCCTGCATGCACTTAGTGCATTGCACTAGTGCAACCTAAACTACACTTTTATTGAAAATGAAGCCTTTATTATTGTTTTGTTATATTAAGTTTGCTCCAACAATGCATTTTAATGCAAAATTTTAAGTTTAATGTGAAAAAGTGCAGTTCAGGTTGAACTTGTGCAGGATAACAAATATTGACAAATAAATGAGCCAAACAGGTCAATCAAACTATATTTTTTTGGAAATATTATATACCCACAGTACACAAAACACAAAACTACTATAAATTAATCACTAGCACAATAGTTATAAACTTTTATTGTAATGTTCGGTGTTGCTTGTAAAACCTCCTGTGACATTTTTCACTGCTAAAAGTAAACACAATTCTTCAAAAATATCAGAAAACATTAAAAAATAATACAATACTTACACAAAACTCTATTATCCAGTTGACAAAAACAGACAGATTATTAATAAATAGTAAATAAAAATAAATCTAACTGACCATGCAACTGTCATTTTGTGTTGCCAACTGACATTTTGCGAGAAAAATCCCCCAACTAACAACGACCACAAAACAATTAAAAAATCCTAAATAAAAGTTAAAATCGAGAAAATAGTATAAATCACACGTTGCAGAAGGCTATTCTCGCACTTATTCGTTCGTCCACTCGCTCCTTCGTCGCTCGAGGCCAAATTTCGAATTCGTGCGAGAATATGTGTCCTTCTGCAACTTGTACTTTAATATACTATTTTTAAACTTTTTGAATCTGTCAAAACTTCAAAGCCGGTATAGTAGGTAACTGGTTTATCATTTTAATATCAAATTTATTATAATTTTGATTTGTATATTTGAAAAACAATAAATATAACTAATTTTTTGTGCCTAAACCTTAATTATACAACTGCTATTATTTTTTAATTAATAAATAATACAGTAATATTTAAATATTTTTAAATTTTTTACGTTTAGTAAACAGCCAGGAGATGTCGTTACTTGTGAACATTCTTAAACAAGAGTAGGAATATTCTCGCACAGCAATGCAGAAAAACATCCTTTCTATGATCAAAAATTACACTAGAATGTTACTATTCTTAAGTAGTCGTAGAGAAAGAACATTCCAAGTCTTTTATTTTAGTATGAGTTTTAATATGACTTGTTAAAATATTTGCCATTGTTGATTTATACGTACAATATTTGCAATAATGTATTTTGGAAGTGATGATATTTTTATTGTTTTCGTTCAACAAATGAGAATGTTTTCTTAAAATGTGGTTGTCTAAATTTTGTTTTCCGTTACATTGAAAATGACAAAAAGAACATTTCAAGTCTTTTATTTTAGTATGAGTTTTAATATGCTTTGTTAAATTACTTTTTTTAATAGTTCTAAATTGGCATATTTGACACTTATACCATTCGACATTTTTCAATTTCAAACAAACTTTAATATGATTATTATAAGCTGATTTATTTGCAGTTAAATATGTACATTTAGTGCATTCATGGATTTTACTTGATATTTTTATTTTATTTTCTCCTACATTTTCTAGTTTATGTTTGCTTAGAATGTGCGAATGTAAATTCCTTAATTCGGCAGCCATGTATGGACAGAAATGACATTTTAATTTATTTTTTTTAACGTGAATTTTTAAATGCCTATTAAAATAACCTTTTCGTACAGTTACGTAATCACATTTGTAGCATTTAAATTGTTTCGTTTTGTCTTTTAAATGGAAATTCTTTATATGATTTAATAAAGTCAACTTTCTTTGATATTTTTTAAGACAAAAGTCACATTTAAATAACTTTTCCTTGCCACTCATATCACTACATTGAACCCCATGATATTCCACATCGATTTTCGTCTCAAACATGGCTTCATCCTCATCTTTATCTTCATTGTCTGACAAATTTTGATCATCTTCTTCAAAAAAGTCACCGTCCCTTCCTTCTTTCTTAATATTGCAATAGAAATCTTCACTTTCATCTCCAACATCAGAATTGTCACTTTCTTCAGCACTATCGTTGATTTTAGATCTAAAATTATGAATGGGTATTAGGGTGGTACAAAAAATAAGTTTTAAATATCGAATAACATTTAAAATCGCCCATTACGTATAATGGGAAAATTAATTATTTGAAACACTAAACTCAAAATATACGAAAGCACATTTACGTATTGTTGTCGGAGTTTTAAAAGATTTAAATGCAGGTTTTAGTTAATCATTGCGCGAACTAAAAATAATACTTACTCGCTTTCAACAGGTAAATCATCCAGGCAATGCTTCTCTATTTCTTCTTTAATTTCTTTATTGACTTGGGATTGTCCGGAATTTCTCGATCCTTCAGAAGAATTACTCAATTTAACACTATCAATGGATACATATGTATTTGAGGTTTCACAGCTAAAACAATTTTTATTTAGTATTAAATAATTTAATCTTTTTAAAAAAATATCACCCAAACGAATTAATTTTTACTGTGTGACCATTATGTAGTCGAGAAATACATTTACAGAAAAATACCATAGATTCAAAATAAGACTATTTAACCCACTTTTCAAACGAATTTTTAAAAAACTTATTAATCAATTTGGACCATTTTTAGAGTATAAGTTTATACTTTAAATTGATGTATTTTACAGAGTGTTTTTAAACATTTTCAAATGTCCGGAAAGTAAGGTTTGGTGTAATATGTTTTTTTTTTTATTGTTGATGAAATGACAATCTTTTTAATAACATAATATATTTGGCTTTTTGTCTTTAATAAAATGTTGATTGTTGAACGAATTAAAAGCGTGTCTTCCTTGAGTAAAAAATCAGATGTAGGTAGGTATGTTATTAACGATAAATTTTAATACGTAATAATAAAAAATAAACAATTTAGTTATCTTAGATGGAAAATTTTAATTTTTAAAATTGTATACGATATTATTTTCTATAGTCCTAAACTGGTTCCAAATAAATAAATAAAAAAAGGTTTCAGCTATTTATATTAATATTAACCTGGTTCCCATGGGGTGCACCGCAGCGTTGAGTGCAGAGTAGGGCAGCAATCGAATAAAATAGTAATCATGAATATAAATAGTAATTATTTTGGTGATTAATGATTATTTATGTAGTCATTATTCATGAATACTTTACTTGAATAATATTCATTATTTATAATCAATTTGTACGTTGTAATCATGAATAACGTTATTTATGAAAGTATGATTATAATTAATATTCATAATCAGAATTAAAGAATAAATTATGTAATTATAATCATTCTGTATAATTACTTTGGTAAATAATCCTTGCTTAACTAATTTAAAGTGAGAACAATGTAACTAAGAAAATTCATTCACTCGTTGTTATATAATTTCGCCGGGATTAATCATATACAATGACTACAATTATTAATCATTATTCTTTTCCGATAATTGACGATTTCAGTATTTATAACCACTCAAAACGTAAATAATAAATAATATTCGTTATTCATGTTAGAATGATTTATGATTACTTTGTTGTAATCATTATTCATGATTACATTTCATAAATAATAATCATAATCATAATCATAATCGAATACAATTTGCCCCACTCTGGTTGAGTGTAGGACAGCAGTATATTTTTTTAATTTAAACATTGAATTTCTTAACTGGTAATAACTAAAAATATTTTTTTTAAATGCTGTTTTGATCACAAGCGCCGTTTTGCGGAAATAACTCCATTAATTTTTTATTACTTATAAATATAAATAATAAGAGCGGAAAAATATAGGCAAAAATATGTAACGTGGTTTACAAAAAACTTAATACAGTTTGGCTCCAGGGTATACAGATGTATTTTGGGCATGCATTTTAAATCTAAAATATGTACTTACTCGACCCGACAATCGTTTTCCTTTTCTACAACCTTAGTGTCTATAACGTAAATACTATCTTCGGTGACAAAGTCGTCGAATAAATATACCTCGTTCTCGTCCATGGTATTGTTTAGATTCTGTAAAAAAATATAATATTAAGCCGCTTAATTTAAGCGCCATTTTACAAAATGTACAATGGTCATATACATTACTAAACAAAATATCGTTTACTTTTGCTATAAATTGTTTAAAACCGCTATAGCGATTATAAGGTTTAGTAACTCGCGTCTAGGCCCTGAACAGTCACTATCTGTTCGGGCGATGTCGCGTCACATTTCATCACGATTATACCCGAGTACTCTGGTCTTTGCGCCAAAATTAAACTTAACCTAAGTTTTGACCACAGAATGTTTTGACTGGTTTGTTCTGTGTTTTTTATATCTGTGTAGTTCTTAAAAAGTAGTTTTTACGGTCGTTTTTTGTAAGATGAGTGAAATAAGTTCTACTGAAACTATATTTAAGTGCAGTGAATGTCCTTCTGTTTTAAAAACTTTTTATGATTTGCGAAGGCATGTTAAGACTTTCCATCCTTCAAAATTAGATGAAATAGCTCCACTGACTAAACATCGTACATTAAATTTCATGTGTGATGTTTGTGGGAAAAAATTTACATATAAGAAGCATTTAACATTTCATAATAAAACTCACGGTATTTTGAACGACGTAACTTCTACAAAGTTTTGTAAAAATTGTCCACTTTGTAGTTTTACGGGTTATTCTAAGATCCAATTAAATGATCATTTCCGAGAAATCCATGACATAGAACTCTGTTTTGAGAAGCTTGAGTTTTCTACAGAGCAGTCATTTAAAACTTGGAAAAATTCAATGGAAAACGAAACAAAATCTTTATTTGTTAAAGAATGTGGAAACAGGGAAACTAAGTCAAAGAGAATTTTGCGTTATGTGTGCCATAGATCCGGCTTTTATGTGGCAGAAGGCCAACAGAAAAGGCAATTGAAAACACAGGGAAGCAAAAAGATTGGTGGGTTTTGTCCGGCAGGTTTCAAAGTAGAGGTGAATTCGAATGGTGAATATAATGTGAGCTTTATGAAAACACATGTTGGGCACACAGACGATTTGGGACATATAACATTAACCACTACAGAAAGAAAAGAAATTGCAGCAAAAATTGCAATGAAGATTCCTTTTTCTGATATATTGGACGAAATACGTGATAAAATTTGTGGAAGTTCGGTTCAAAGAATTCATTTATTAACCAACAAAGACTTGAACAATATAGCTGCTACCTTTAATTTGCAGTCGGGAGCTGTAAGGCATCCAAATGATGCAATCAGCATTGAATCATGGGTAAACGATATTAAACAAAGACAGTGTGTGTTATTTTACAAGCCACAAAATTGTATTTTGGAAGAACATCCTGAGTTGAAAAGCGAAGATTTCATCTTGGTGATTATGAATGAAGGCCAGGTTGAAATGTTAAATAAATTTGGTTCAGACTGTATATGCATCGATGGTACACACGGATTAAATGCATATCACTTTGAGCTCCATACCCTGTTAGTTTTGGATGAATTACGGCAAGGATTTCCTGCAGCATTTCTTATCTCAAATCGGTCTGATCAAGAGGTGATGGTCTTGTTCTTTTCTTGTATCAAACAAAGGACTGGATTAAACTTGAGACCAAAGGTCTTCATGTCAGATTTGGCAGAATCTTACTATAACGCATGGAAACGTGTAATGAATGAGGCACAAATGCGGTTTGTATCTATGTTATGTTATCAAATGTCATAAAATGTATAATATTTATTTTTTACAGTTTGTTCTGTATATGGCACGTCGATCGGGCATGGAGAAAGAATCTGCATTTAGTAAATACAAAGGAGAAACAGGTGACATTAGACTTATGTAAGTGCTAATATGTGGGAAATACTAAATCCATTTCTGTTATAGGTTGAGATTTATCAAGAGCTTCGTACATTAATGCAAGAGACTGATGAAAATGCCCTGCTACCCATGCTTCAAAATTTTTTACAGAAAACTGCAGAAGACCCAGACACCAAAAAGTTTTCAATTTATTTCAAAAACTTCTATAAGAAGAATGTCAAATCATGGGCGTACTGCTACAGATTACACAGCGGACTCAATACAAATATGCACCTAGAAAGCATGCACAAAACAATTAAGCACATTTATCTAAAGGGGCAACATGTTAAACGATTAGATAAATGTGTAACATGCATAATGAGATTTGTCAAGGACAAATTATTTGACCGTATAATCACACTGAATAAGGGAAAAATCAGTAGCAAAATTAAAGATTTGAGAAGGAGGCACAAGACGAGTGCAGATCTCAATTTAAATTTGATAACAGAGGATGGTAATCGCTGGCAGGTACTTTCTTCTTCAGTGAAAAGCCCTGAACTGTACGAGATACAGATGAATATTGAGAACTGCAATTGCTCATTAATTTGTTCTGATTGCAACATATGCATCCACAAATACAGTTGCAGTTGCTTGGACTCATCAATTAGGTGGAATATGTGCAAGCATATCCATCTTTTAGGACGCAAACTTATGGAGCAACCACGAGATCAAACAATATCATCAACACTGGATAGTGTTTTGGAAAACCAGAGCGAAAATGGTAAGTTATAAATATTATATTTTATTTTCAACCAGAATCAGCTAAAAAATTGGATAAAAAATAAGATTGTTTTAATGACAAAAAAGTCAAAAGAATAAGATGAAAGAAAGTAAACATTTCCTATTTTTATTCGACCATAATATGGGAATAACAGGCAAAAGTCCCTTTTCCTGACTAGGCAGGAAAAGTGTTAATTTCTTGATTTTAAAAAGACAGCAATGACAATATTACTTTACATGGTTGGAAATAAAGTTATTATCAGTATTATTATCACTGATTTATTTATGTTTTTAATTAATTAATATTAATCATATGATATATTTACAGGCACATTTTTTACAACATTGCCGTTTACTTGAGGTACATTTTCTTTTTTATATATACTGGTATGGTGCAAGGATCTTTTTGTAGTCACAGAAAAAAAGTTATGCACTTTCTCGAACTTTCTCAGGGCTGTATCTCCAAAAGTGTTAATGTGAATTTTTCAATTTGCTGTAATTGCAATGTTAATACCTTAAGGTAGTTGTGATTTATAATATATCGAAATTATATATTATATATTAATACTTTTTGAGATATAGCCCGGACAAAATTGGAGAGGGCCTTTTTTCTCTGACTATTACATAATATTATATTATATGTATTTATAATATGCTTGTTTTTATAAAGTTGAAGTATTAGTAGGAATCTTTAAAAATTAATTTTTTTAATTATTTTGATGGTGATGATAGCTATCAGACTAGCAGATAGCTATCAGGCTAGTCTATATTGTTAAATTTTCTAAAGCTAAATTAGCTCACCTTGATTTTTGTCTTATAGAATAGCTTTGGTTTGCAAATATATAAAGTTTTGTTTTTGTTGCAGCTAATATCTTTAAACTGTGTAAACTTTGGTGATGGTAATAGTCTAAATTTACATTGTTTAATTTTCTGTAGCTAATCAGTGAGCCTTAATTTTGTCTTTTGTTTAAAAAAATAAAGTATTGTTTTGTCTATTATAGATATTAATGGTTTAAACATTCAAACCAACCCCAAAAATCAAGAGGCAGAAGATATCTATAATTCTCTCACCGCAGATTCTAACAATCGTAATGACGGCGAACAATTACATCTAAAGAAAGAAGAAATGAAGAGGTTTTTTTGTTCTATGGTGGATTCAATACAATCAGATGCCGAATTTGACGTTCTGAGAAAGTTAGTTGCACCGATTGAGCCAACGTTAAACGCCACAGTTAGAAAAAGTAACTGCGCCTTCTCCCAGAAAATCGCTTCCGTACCGCATAATAAGAAAATTGATCCGCAAAGAGGATTTTTTTCAAAAAAAAAGAAAGCAAAAAAATCGGCAAAATGGCAAAAACCCTCAACTCAAATAAAAAACCAAATCGCAGTATCACTTCTGAGTCAGAAGTCAGAACTTCTGACTGATAGTTCATTATTGTTATAATACTTTTTTAATTTTTTTATTTTTTTGTACAATGTTTATCCAATTCCATGCTATTTCATCATTATTTTAAACAATAATTTTTTTTCAGACATTGATCCCGAATGCTTGCATTTTCACTCAATTTGCCCTATTTTAGCGCAAAGTTTAAAAACGTAAAGAATTCAAAATAACTTGGATATGCGTAAAATGATACACTTTTTAATAATAATAATAATAATGCCAACAGTACAAATAACCAATAGCACATACAATAATATAATATAAATAATTATAATTAAGTACCTACCTATCAATTTACCCAATCTAAATTAGTTTGAATTCTTAATGTTTTTAAAATTTTCCGTGGCAAATTAAGTGAAATCACTCCAGTGTTCAGGATTATTGTCTGAAAAAAATTGAATATTTTTGGCTTACTACTGTATGAATGAATAATTTTGTTGAAAACATGTTAATATGTTATTTGATTACTTTTTCTATACTGTATAAATAAATAATTTTATTGAAAACATGTTTGTTTACTTTTTCTATTTAAGAAATACACAAAAAGATTGAAAAAAACGTATATTTCCCAAAAAACCCACTGAATACCCGTCTACGACTAAATCTACCCGAACCACCTTACTCCCGCCCGCCCACAACTAAATCGACAAGTACCATCCGTGCAGGTAGTGACCGTTCAGGGGCTAGACGCGAGTGGTTTAGTATAGTTGTACAACAATTTAGGAAAGTTGAGATTATTGTTTTATTTTAATATAAACTACACTGTTTAAAAGTTTCACTATTTTATTTAAATATGACAATTGTTTCGCTACACTGTAGCATCTTCAGATCGTATACAAACTAATATTTATTTTACTTTTATATAAATGATGGTTTTACAGGTAATATTTTTAGTACAATATTGGGGAAGATTAAATTAACGTTATACAATAAAGGAACAATAACTATGGGGATGCCCTGTAATTTCTATAGTTATATAACACTAAAAATTTTTGAATTTATTAAAATAAGTTTAATAACGGGGAATTATTGGTATCTATTTGGTCATTAAGAATAATATCAGTTTTTTTCTTTAATTTATTAATTTCCATCGATTCTAATAAATTCAGTTTCATACTTTTATTTTCTATGTGTAGGATTTTAAAGTTAGGAGTAAAATTATGGTTTTCATTAATAAGGTGGTTTGCAAAAGTGGAATCTGTTTTTTGGTTTATAAATGATTTTCTATGTTCGTTAATTCTAGTTTTAAAGCAGCGACCTGTTTGTCCTATATACGTTTTAGGGCAATCTGCACAAGTTAATTGGTACACTCCTGCAGGGCCGGCGTTAGCTTATTAGAGGCCAGGTGCAAAAGAAAAATGCGGGGCTTGAACTTAAAATAAAAATTTACTCTTGAAAATTAACATAGCGCCTAGCGGCAATAAACTAATAAATCATCAAACGATAAACCAATTGAAGGGGTTAGAGCTGAAACCGCCCAAGTGCATTTTTAAGTCAAAATTTCTTAAGCATGTTAGCGGATAGTAGAAAATTTTGGCTTAAAAATGCATTTGGGTGGTTTCAGCTCTGACCCCTTCAATTAATATGGAAATTAACGTTTAAGAAAAAATCACACATATGTTTTCCGTGCTTTGGCGGAAGCAAAGGCGTCAATGGTTTTTGAAGTCATATCCAGTTCTCTTCCAACATCCTTCTCTATTGACAATATAGCCAAACCCACTAGTCGTTCTTGGCACATACTTGATCTTAAATAATTTTTTATTAATTTTAATTTTAAAAAACTTCTTTCCGCAGAGGCAACCGTGACGGGCAAGGTAAGTAAAATTTGAATTGCGACGCAGATATTTGGATAGGCCAAAAACAGCTTTGTAGTTTGAAGGTATTTTAGTATGTTTAAGAGCGAATTTCAGGAATTATTGGAATTAAAGATGTTAGTTCTTCAAACAATTCTAAGTAATCAATATCGGAATCAGCATTTTCCGCGGATAAAACAGAATGTAGGTTTTTGCAGTTATTTTGCAATTCTTCATCAGGAAGATCTTTGATTTTTGTAAATTCATACATAAATCCAAACTTTTTCCTAATATCCTCATATAATTTAAATCTTTCCTTAAAGGATTCTATTGCTCTATCAAGGACCAATAGGAAGAATTCAACACGAAAATGTTCTTCTTTGTCCTCGAACGTTTCATCTGTACCTTCATAGTCAAAAGATTTTTTGACTCTTCTACAAAAGATATTATCTCCTGGCATCGACCACATATTATGTTCAACATAATATGTTGTCGCGCGGCGCTTACCGGTTGCCAAAATGTACAATAATTTCGTCG